TTCCTACCAGAAGAACTTCTGGTATTGTACCAGAAGACGAAGACTTTATGGTCTTCTATACGAAGACCTTCTTGGCGTCTATACCAAGACCTTCTGGTCTTCAATGAGAATGGGAGACGGTAATGAAACGGTTTAAAAAGACTTCTGTTTTAATTTTTATGAAGCAAAGAATATCGTTTTGAAGTCTTGCAGAGAAGAGAAAAGTTTGATCATAACTGGATTACATTCTCCAGAAATCATCAGCTGAAAAAATTGTTCCCATTCTGTCACCATTCCATTTTCGTTGGTTTTTAAATCTTGTTCTCATCCCAAAACCGGACAACATCCACAAATCAAAATCATTTATATGTCGTTGATGCTTGAATTATGTTTGGTTTCATTTGTGAAATACAATTCGTTGGGGTATTTCATTGTGTGTTTCATTGCCACTCTTTTTTTAATGAAACATAAAAAAAGGAAAACAAAAACAAGCGGCGACATGTTTATTTGCTCTGGCTGTGTGAATATCGCCGAATGAATTTTGTAAAATGCTGCTGCTGCTGCCGCTGTTGTTGTTTTGTATTCAAAATTGGTTTTTGAACCGTCCATAATGAATTATAAAGGCCGGAGAAATGGAGAGACATTGTGGATGATGGTTGGACAATACGAAATAAAATGTGAAAAAATATAGCTCAGCTGGTTTGTTTTATTTTTTCTCTTTAATTTATTTTTTTTTCGTAATTTTTATTTTTTTATTTTCATTTTCTGCTTTATTTCGTACAGCGAACATTCGGAGATATTTGAACGCTTTCACCGCTAGCTACCAGTGCTGTGCGCTGTCTCGCATGCACATATGAGTGTGAGCATGCGCGTGGATGAAAAGTGGTCGCTTGGGTAGGGAACTAGTTAGGATTTAGTCATATAAAATTAAGAATTGGATGAAGATTATTCAAATAATTATTTTTTATTAGAATTTTTTCCTTTGAATAATATTTTTCATCAAATCGAAATTTAGTACCTTATTTAGTAACATAGCACCTGCGACCACTTTCTTTGGATTTTTGTTTTCATTTTTGGTTTGTTTTCATTGTTAAATTAGTTTTTTTTTCTTTTTATTTGGCTACTTTGTGCTTGGATTTTGTTTTGAGGCGTTTAATGGGGCTAATATTGATTATCGTTTGTTGTTTAATTAAAGAAAACAGCTTTCTTACAACTTCGAATAGCGAATGGAGAAAAATGTGTAAATAATTAAACATGCTATAGGCCATACATGGAATCTAAAAACGATTAGCGAAAAAGGAACGCGATAGTGGGGCCAAGATATTCCGCAAAAAAATCACAGTTAGACTTTAATTTGATATGAATCATAAATTGTATTACCTTCATTCGTATGGAATTTGTGTGTGTTTCAACTAACCTGCAAAGAAATAGAAGAAGAAAAAAATTAATTAAATAATTATTTTTAAAATAATTTAAAAATAACAAAAAACAAGCACCTCAACTTATTTGGGAAACTTATTTCCTCAATATTTAGATTTAAAGGTCAAATTCTCATGCACATATATGCCATGCAATATCAGCAGCTCACATAATTATCCCACATCAATAAATGTTTTCATAAAAAAATCAAAATAAAAAAACAACAACACAAATACCCTACTTCACACGCACTTCTGCGCTCTGTGGGTTGTAAGACGTCTCTATAATGATTTAGTCATTATAATTATGTTTGAAATCGATTGGGAGGGGGGAAATGTTTTTTTGTTTTCATTTGGCATTAATTTTAATAATTGATATCGAATTATGATCATGGGGAGCGGGAGTGGCCCAACCACATAAAAGTTTCCAGCAAGAGCCCAAATAAATCAGTGAAACAAGAGTAATTAACCGATATTGTGTAGGGATTTTAATGAGCATTACAAAACAATAATAAATTAAATTAATTAGTTTTGTACCCCTAAATAAAAAAAGTGAGGTGTGGAATACTTCGAGAGGGTATGTATTTTGAGAAAATAATTTCTAAGGGTTCTTCCGAAGATAGACGATTTTTGAGATCTTTGTAATAATTAAAATAACATTCGAAAGGGTTTCCATTTAAAATAGATGATCGTTCCTAGATGGAATAGAAATTTGAAAAGAATTTTTTGAACAGAAGACCTCAGAGAGCTCTCAAAAATCCATATGTATAACAATTTTTAAAAGCTTTTTCATAAAGGCTTTCTTTAGGCCAGTCCTCCGAATCTTAGTCCTCAGTAAATCTTACTTGTATCCTATAGGAAGAGGTCCTGGCAAGGAGAAACAAATTTCGAACAAACTGAATTTTTCGATGTCGCTCAAATAGGAGTGAGCATATTTTCCTCGTTATAGATTGGTAGAAAAATTTGTTCAAAAGCGAGCAGATTCGCTTCTTGTTGCTCTAAAAATCAATGTGTTTAACTATTTTTAAATTCTTTATTAAAAAGCCTATCTTTCAGTCAGACCTCCGAAAAACTCGCTCGAATTTATGCATAGATTGAAACTCACTCAAATTCGAGCGGAAGCGCTCCTAGGAGCATACAAATCGAGCGAAGTTAATACGATGTCGCTCGAATAGGAGTGAGCATATTTCCCTCGTTTTTGATTGGGAGCAAAATTTGTTCAAAAGCGAGTAGATTCTACGCTTGCCGCTCTTAAAATCAATGCGCTTAACTATTTTTAAATTCTTTTTTAAAAAGCCTTTTTTTAGGTTAGACCTCGGAAAAATTCGCTCTAATTTATACAAAGACTAAAACTTACTCGAATTCGAACGGAAACGCTCCTAGGAACATAAAAATCGAGAAAACTTAATACGATGTCGCTCGAATAGGAGTGAGTTTTCTCGTTTTTGATTGAGAGCAATACTCGGTCAAAATCGAGCAGATTATGCTCTTTTCGCTCTCAAAATCAATGTGTTTAACTATTTTTGCTTTTTCAAAAGCCTATCTTTAAGTCAGGCCTCCGAAAAACTCGCTCGAATTTATACAAAGTTTGAAACTCACTCAAATTCGAGCGGAAGCGCTCCTAGGAGCATACAAATCGAGCGAAGTTAATACGATGTCGCTCGAATAGGACTTTCCTCGTTATAGATTGGTAGCAAAATTCGATCAAAATCGAGCAGATTATACTATTTCGTCTCTCAAAATCAATGTGTTTAACTATTTTTAAATTCTTTTTTAAAAAGCCTATCTTTAAGTCAGACTCCCGAAAAAATCGCACGAATTTATACAAAGAGTAAAACTTACTCGAATTAGAGCGGAAGCGCTCCTAGGAGCATAAAAATCGAGCAAACTTAATTCGATGACGCTCGAATAGAAGTGAGCATATTTTCCTCGCTTTTGAGTGGGAGCAAAATTCATTTAAAATCGAGCTGGTAATACTCTTGCTGAGCACACTTTTACTTTTTTTTATACCGTTGTTGTATTTCTATGTGTATTTTTTGTAGAAAAGCAGAACCCTCTCTTCCCCCTCTTCCCTTTTACAATACACAGCGACATGAAAACCCGCAGACTCAAATCTGAACACAAATATCCATTTCCACCTTTGGAGCAAACTCTTGCTCTATCTTCAGCGGTTCTTCTTCCACTCTAATTTTTCCCACAGTAGAGGGTCGGCGTGCTCACACACAAAACAAAAGAGTAGAGTATTTAAAATACTACCACAGTTCGAGCAATCCTGCTCGCCAGTAAGTTTTGTTCCCGATAGAAAATGAGCAAAGCTCTGCTCTGCTTCTCAAAACTGATTTATTCGAGCAGTCTCGTACGAAAAAGTATCAACAAAGCACACTTATGCTTTCTCGATTTTTATGTGCATTAATTTGGCTGGTCGGGAGAGGCTCTTACAACTACTAATGCATATATTATGAGCAAGGCTGTTTTATACAGAGCTTAGCTTTCCTCTTGTTTACATGCGAGCGGGAGTATTCGAAGAGTGTGGGTTTTTACCACTTTTCTCTCCACACTTTTGTTTTATGAGAGAGTTATGGTGAAGTACTCCTGTTTGAAAAATAAGAGTGGGGGCAAAAATATTGGAAGTAGAGTAAAAGTTTACGCTAATAGTCAAATCTAGCTGAAAAAATGCTCAGATTTGATCATGTTTATCTGCCAGTAAAACTCAAAAAATAAAGAAATGTCTATTTTCTTAGGTCTTCCGTAAAAGGTTTATTTAAAAGAAAATAGGTCTCATTAAAGATTAAGCTTAAAACTGAGATATGGTTTTTTATTACCCTCATGAGTATGTACTCGAAGAGTGTGAATTTTATACGAAGTTTTCTCTCCACTCTTTTTTTGTTATACGAGAGTGAACGAGAGTTACTCATGTTTAAAAAATTAGTATTGGAGTCAAAATACTCGAAATAGATTAAAAGTTTACTCTCAGACTGAAAACGAGTGGAAAAATCAGAGGTAAGAATTCCTCATTTTAATCTGTTAGTAAATCATAAAGAATGAAATGTCTACACCCTTAGGTTTGGCTTTTACAAACGGAGCTCAGATTTGCTCTTTTGTCTCGTGAACTTGAGTGCTCGAAGAATGCGAATCTTATACGAAGTTTTGTCTCCAAACTTCATTTGAAAGTGTTCTTTGAAGAATTAACATGGAAGACGAAATGCTTGAAATCGAGTAAGAGCTTAATTTAAAAGTGAAATCGATTGAAAAAAATCAGAGCTCAGACTTCCTTATTTTTATCTGCTAGTGAAACATACTACATACATACAACAATGCTTCTCAACGTGTTGGTTTTTTTCGTTTGCAGCTGTGGGGTGAAAAAAAACAGATACTAAAAAAGAGATGACCAAAACTAAGAGAAACTGGCTCGAAATCGAGCAGATTTTACTCTCACTCAAAAACGAGCAACGCCCATTCGCTCTTGTTCGAGGGATACAGACAATTTAAGTACACTCGATTTCTTTTTTTTTCACAGAAGTACTCCTGCTCGAGCTTTTCCATAGATCCTCTCATTAAGTGCTTTTTAGTTTCAGAATTTTGTTGGTAGAGAAAAAGAAACATTTATTCGAAGACAGTAAAGCCCGAATTGCCATCGGACTCTTTGGGTTCTTCTTCCTTCTTGTCTTCTTTTTTCTTGGCCTCAGCAGCTGGGGAAGCAGCAGCAGCCGGGGCAACACCAGCACCGGATCCGATTGCGGGAATCAAGACTTTAACATTGATACCTTTCAAAGCCTTGGTGAAAAACTCGACTAGTAAGGTTCAACTTTGACATTAGCAACCTTCAATTATGTCCAGATTTTCTCAACAGTGATGCTGCATCATCATCGATTAAGCGTTGACCCTAGCTAACTCAGCTTTGGTTGACATATTTCTACATGACATGTTAATATGAAACACTGATCTGCCCAATGGTAATTGGAACTAAATCCATCCGCTGTTTTGCTTTCTTGCAAATTGAATCTGGGCTGTTTGTTTATTTTCTGATCGGACCATCATCATCACACATTGTCTTATCACTGACAATTTTATACTGCCAATAACCTCTTGCTGAATGTGTACACACACTTATATTCTAATTATCTGCACACGTTTCCCCTCTATTGGTTCCCATCACAGCCATTCGTTAGATAATGATCAGGGTGGCTGGTGGCTATTAATTGGCCATAAATCTTGAAACTTGAGGAATAAATTAATTAACATATTTCGAATAAAAAAATAAAAACACCGGCGCCGTCGTCGTCGAATTATTTAATTCAGGTTTCTTCAGTGGTGGGTGTTGACATTGTCATTTGGGAATGTAAACAGAGATTATGTGAGAAAATCATTTGAAGCGAAATAGAGAGCAGGTATTTTGAGGTCGAGATTTGAATATGCAGATACAGTCTAACGAAAATAAATTGTGACACCGAAGTGGGGTTTGAGTTAAGTTGAAAGATTTCTTCGAAGCGATTATCAGGATTCAAGAAGAGGATATTGCTTAACAGATTCCTGCTTTAAAAGGCGTATTTATTCCCAAAATACAGGGTGAGATGAATAAACTGCAACCAACTTCAGACTGCTGTCATTTCTAAACCACTTGTACGACAGCTGTTAAAGTTATTCCAGTGACAGCTCATTATATTTTTTACAAGCGTTCAAAAGCATTTTGGTGAGAATTTTCCAGAAAAAAAGTTATTCGAGATGGAATTCAAGGGTGATAGTGTGTGATTTCTTTATATTTGGCTGGAAAACCACAAGTGACTATCGTTAGAGCACTCCAGCATTTAAATGTGAATAAATATTTTGTGTCTCGTACCATCGCTCGTTACCGAGATACTGATAGCGTAGCACGACATCAAGAAAGTGAACGGAAGAAAACAGCAACATCAGCAGAAATGGTTCGAAAAGTAAAGAAGCGACTTGATCGAAACCTGCGTCACAGTAGCCGAAAGATGACTCGTGAGCTTAACATATCGCAATATTCCATTCGGAAAATATTGAAAATTGAGCTCGGGTCTAAAGCCATTGAAATTGCAAAATGTGCAAGAACTTACACCGCAGCGGCAAGAAAATAGACTCAAAGGAGCTAAAGGGTTGCTTCGCTTGGACAAAAGTGGTGAACTGCCGAATTTGGTTTTCTCCTTTTCCGATGAGAAAACATTCGTTGTCCAGCAGTTTGTTAACAAAGAAAATGATCGACCGTCGATTAATACGTGTGGAGAGCAACCATCGGCTGTTATGGCGGCCCACACCATCAACATGGCCGGCGCTTGATCTCTGGTGGCCAACTGAAGGTGCACATTTTCAGCTGACCTCTTTGGGAAATAAACACGATAATTTTGTTTGTTTACAAACTGCTGGACAACGAATGTTTTCTCATCGGAGAAAACCAAATTCGTCAGTTCACCACTAAGAATAAATGCCGAATATTATCGCGAAAATATTCTGGAGGGTGTATTAAAGCCCGAAGAGGCATGCAAACAGTTTGGCCGCAGACCTTGGACATTCTAACAGGTCTCAGCACCATCGCACTCAGCACGCACACCCAAGAATGGTTACATATCCAGCGCACAATAGCCACCAAAATCTCCGAATACCAATCTATTGGACTATTGTGTCTGGAGTATTTTTTGAAAGCAAGGCTCAAGCAAGCACTTCGCCTGATATGGGCCAAAGACCGCAGAGCAACATTCGGGCAGCCTGTGACGGTTTCATTGGCCGTTTGAAGGCAATAATTCGTGTCAAAGTTGACCAATTCGAACAAATCTAAACTTATTCTATAATTAGATGCTATTTCCGAAATTTCTTGCCTTTCATTGAATAACATTTTTAAAAAATGTAAAAATTATGGCGTTTGACTTTGTTGCAGTTTTTTTATCTCACCCTGTATATGTCAATATATGCGAAAATTATTTGTGACGCAGAAGTAGGGTTTGAGTTGAAAGTTTTCATCGAAGAGATTATGAGGATTCAATCACCTAGCAAATTCCTGCTATCAAAGGCGTATTTGATCCCAAAATATAGTGCAATAGCCCTTTGGATGTCTTTACTCAAATTTTTTTTTTTGCAACAATCCTCTCTTTTTGGATTCATTGAAAATTATGTTTTTTTTATTTATATTTTTTATTTATTTATTTATTTTTTTTTTTTTTTTTGAAACCCAGAAATAATATACCTTTCATTATTATTTTTCAAAGCTCTAATATCCTTTCCCAATAAAATACTGACACAAAATATTTCTCCTTCATATTTTTTTCTTTTCTGAAGTCAATGAGAATTAAAGCTCTCAGATTCACAGACAATAGAAATTGGTGTTAAAATGGTGTGAAATATCCATGAAATTTGTGGTTAACAATGAATAACCCATAAAATCATTTAAAGCTTATCAAAAACTACAATTTATTTCAACAAATATTTTTCCCTTTCATTAAATCTATAGAAAAAAAGTTTGAACAGATTTGCATCACAATTTATGATTTTATCCAAACATCAATCATGTTTCGTTTTCTTTGGAGTGATGCAACCGTTTAGTTGTCGTCACAACCAACCAAATACCCTAAAACTGGTGGGATTTTCTTGTTGGTTCGTTTTTATTTTACGAGTATTTCATAATTTCAAAATTCGATTTTTGAAGATCTTATCAACTAGACTGTGTCATGATGGGATTTTGATTTTCCAAAAAAAAAAAAAATGCATTGGCCAAGTTATCAATTGCAGCAATATATTTTAGTGGAGCATAAAATTGAGGTAAAACTAAAAAAACCAAGATTAAAAATATGTGTTCATTTTCCATTGGAATTTTTGTGATAAGACCCACCACAATATGGGAGGTCTTGCCAAGAATCAATTTATTACAACATAACGTGGAATTACTTCAATATTAGGCAATCCTAAAAACAAATTAAGCCCATAACTAGGGCTATCAATCATGTGTACTTAACAGGTCTCCCTGTTAAAAAAATAAAACTTCATACGAGGTCGGCAAGCCACAGCAACGATGGGTAACAGGCAGTGAGTGAGTAATTCCTCCCATATGTAGAAGCTATGTACCTACATTGCCATATTATGAAATGGCTTATTTTACCAAATGAGAAATTAGTTTGTGGCCGACTGTTTACAACATCAGCCGTTAGTTATGACCATAAATTTATTGTTGTAATTGTTGTTAGACTTGGCTGTCTGTCTGTCTCTGGTCTCATTTTTCCAACTTTTTTTCTATTTCTTTAAACTGTAATTAATTATTATTTAACCAACTAATGTAGTTGTAAGATTGCGTTTTATTACAATTGGAAAAAAACGACAAACACCTGCCATGTAACGGATTTGTATTGGCAAACTATTTCAGTGGAGGCGTGAAAAAATTATGGTGCTAATAATTTTACAAGATAAATTATTAGAAAAAAAAATGAAATAGAAACATGTGGCGCCCAAAAAAGGGTCAGAAAATAATTGCATGCAAACAGGGGTTTTTAAGAGATAAGAGTGTGACACGACATAGCCAGAAATACCTTTTCAGAAGGGGGTCCAACCAACAAAAAAAGAGATTTGCAAAAAATTTGCCTAAATGAAAAACAAGTGGCGCCCAAGCCGGGAATAGAATAGATTTGGATTAACAGCTGGGTATTTCGCCATTTCTCTAGGAGAGCTCAACCAACAAATAATGAGATTTAAAAAAAATGCCTAAATGAAAAAAAAGTGGCGCCCAAGCAGGGGTCAGAATAGATTTGGATTAACAGCTGGATATTTCGCCATTTCTCAAGGAATGCTCGTTCAACCAACAAAAAAATATAGAGATTTTCTGAGTATGAAAGAATCGAGGTGCTTATGAAATAAATCGGGTGCTTATTCTGCATTTTATGAGCTTCATGTTTATTCAAAATTTGACCTGTTGTGCGGGAGGTACCAAAAGTAGTGGTCCATTCTATCCATTCTTCAAACCATGTCTTGCGTAGATATATTGACATTCGAACTCTTATTATATAAAAATTATTTATAAAAGTTATAATTATTCAAAATTTTGACTATTTGTGGGGGAGGTACTTGATGTAGTCGGCTGATAGTGGCCATTTTCACACCTGACATAGCTGATAAAAATATTAGGTTTTGCAAAGTTTTCTTTCTTGTTCCAGAAGCAAATTATTTTCTGATAAAATGTTGACCTTTTTAGGGTAGGTAACAGAAGGAGTGGTCCGATATTGCCCATTTTCAAAGTTGATTTAAGCTTGACAATAATGTTACGATGTACAAAGTTTGGACTAAATCGAATACTTTCTTCGAGAGTTGTACACTAGTCAGACAGAGATATACAGAGAAGGACACCCTAGATCCACTCCAAATTTCTGAAGTTTTTTTTTTTCGATGAGGCACGTTTTGGCCGTATATATATACCCTCAGTAGCCATATGGCTAAGGGTATAAAAATAAGAATGGTATTTAATGAAGATTAATAATTGAAAAAGCTGTAAGTTCGGCCAGGCGGAACTTTGAATACCCTCCAGCATTTGGAACGAAAAATTCTTTTAAAATCGTAAAAATACCAAATGTCTAAACGACGACGTGGACCTATAAAGGCAACTTTTGTCATAAGCCATTATAATATTCAAATTCAAAACTTGAAACAATTCGGTGAATAATGTAGCTAACACCATCTAAATATTGAATATCGGGAGGTACCGTTATAAGGTGGCTATACGAAGACGTGGACCTGCACAAGCAATTTTCTGTCTTAGACTGTAGTGTCGACTTCGAACTTCAAATGCCAAATTTGAAAC